CATGTGTTGGTTTATATTCCACATATGAGTGAGATCATACAGTGTTTGTCTTTCTCTTTCTGGCTTACTTCACTTAACATAATACCCTCCAGGCCCATCCATGTTGTTGCAAATGGGATGATTTTGTCTTTTTTTATGGCTGAGTAGTATTCCATTGTGTATATATACCACATTTTCTTGATCCAATCGTCAGTCGAGGGACACTCTAGGTTTGTATTTTTAATTTCATGATTTAAAAAAAAAAGTTGGCTCTGATTTTTTAAAGACACTCTGGTGAAAAAACTGTTAACAACGCTTGCCTCTGGGGAGGGAAACAGTGACTGGAGGAAGGCGACTTATTCTAAACTGAATACCCTTTTGAATTTTGAACGCTGTTCATATATTTAAAAAACTAAATTAACTCCCTAAACATTGCAGGAGCCAACTAATCAGTCTGCACATGGCTGGTTTGTAGCTCTGATCTACAGGATAAAGTTCACATTCTTCTTTTGCCCGGTATCCAAAGCCTCTTGACTGTCTGATTGTGGCCTGCCTTCTTCCCCACTATACCTTATCCACTTATATGCCCCGCATTCAGCTGCATTCTCTTGAACGCTATTTTTCCTTTTCCTACTTTGGGGTCTCTGCTATGCTGTTCCTTTCTCCCGTTTGTCTTCTAAGATCTAGTTCAAATACCACTAATGAATTGCTCGTTCTTTCAGGTGTCCTATACAGGATCCTGGGGAGGCGGTAAAGCATGAAATTTCAGAGCATGGACTCAGGAGGCAAACTCCTTGGGTTTGAACTCTGGCTCTGCCAATTACATCACCATTTAAATGACCTCGGGCAAGTTACTTAACCTCTCTTGCCTTGGTTTCCTCATCTCTGAAGTGGTGAGGATTAAAGGAGTTAGTGATCCCAAAGTATTTAGAATAATGCCTGGCACATAGCACATACTCAATACATAATAGCTAATGTTGTGTAGCAGGCTGCCTATGTTTCCTCACAGAACTGACACTATTTAATTGTCTTGTGGTATATTCTCCAACTAGACCGTGAGCTCCAGAGGCGAGGGCCTCTGGCTGCCTCACCTCTGTGTCCTCAGTACCTAGAATGGCCTGGCATAGAAGAGGCACCTGGTAAAGATTTGGAATGAAATCACACACACACAAAAAAACACACACTTCCTGTCTTTTTTCTTTGGATTGTGAATCTCATTGGTGACTGTGCCTTTTCTAGGCTCCATTAGTTTCCATAAAAACCAAGTGTTGGACCTTTACACAATAGCTGTTGATTAACAGAAAAAATAAAATCTTGAACGAGAAAATGCTTCATCCTGTGTTCAGACAAGCAGTTCAAAAAATCTAAGGTTCACAAACCAAGCAATTATATTCCCAAAGCCAGAGGCAGACCTTCCACAGTAACAGCCTACCTTAGGTGACAGCCATTTTCATTCACACTCAGCAAACACTTATTGAGTCTAGACTCTCTACCAGGCCCTTAACTAGGTTCTGGGCACATGGAGACAAAACAGAATGTGGTTTGGTAAAAAAAGATGGCGGCAGCTCTTTAGTTACTAACATGGACAGTCACAAGGTATACTGTTAAGTAAAAAAATGCAAGGCACAGAAGAGCTTATCTAGTATGCTTCTTTGTGTAAAAAGTGGGAAAAAGGAATATACATATTTTCATGTTATGAATAAACTATCTGAAAGAATAAATGTTTTACTTATAAAACACAAGTTACCTTCAGGGTAGGAGAACTGGGTGGCTAGGGAATGTGGAAGGGAGAGTTAAACTGTATACTCCTATACCCTTTGAATTTTCAACCATGAAAATGTCTTACCTAGTCACAAGATAAAAGTTTTGTTTTTTTTTTTAAAGGATGAGACTTTTAAAAGATGTGGTTTGGACTCAGTAGTTCTACTTTTATGTATCAATCCTAGAGAAACACTCATACAGGCCCCCAAATAGGCATGTACATGGATGTTCCCTGTAGTGCTATTTGTAGCCATAAAACATTAGAAATCACCTAAATAGCCATCTGTAGAGGAAAGTTAAACTGTGATCCATCCACACCTGGAATACTATGCATCAAAATGAGGCTGACCCTAACGGAGGAGTTGGAAAGAGTTCTAAGACAGACTATTAAATGAAAAACAAACAAAAACACACATATATGTATATAAATGCAGAGGGAAAGACCTGGAAGGATATACCACGAACCACTTACAGAGAAGGTAGCATGATTAGTGGGTCTTAAAAAATAATAGCTCACTGGGCAAAGTGCTTCACGCTAATTTTCTTCTAATTCTCTTACTAACTCGATGAGGTAGGTCCCATTATTATCCCTTTTTTATATTTGAAGTAACTCCAGCTGAGAGAGGGTAAGTAACTTGCCTAAGTCACACTTCAAACCCCAGACTTGAATTTGATTACTCTAGCATGCTGCTTTTTACTTTACATACTTCTAGAGATCAATTTTAATTATTGAAAAAAAATAAAGCAAAAGAGATGTGGTCTCTGACCCCAAGGAGCTGCCTTCAGCCTGGCAGAGGCCAGATAATGGGCAGTAGGATCCAGAGCAGTGAGGTCAGTGCTGTGGGGAGGGGCCCGGGGCTTACATTCGAGGAGCTGGGCTCCCGTGCAGTCCTCAGCAACACTCCCTCAGCCAGGGCCCGGTCCACCGCCTGCCGTGCCAGCTCTTCCAGCTGCTGCTCATCCTGCAAGAGGCTCCCCCAGCCAGTGGCCATCCCAACCTGCAACAGAAGGAGAGGGGAGGGCTTGGTGACAGATGGCCTGGGGCCCAGCAACCACTGAAACAGCAGCGTGGTACAGGGGAGCAAACACCGGCTGGCAGTTCCTAACAACTTCCATGAGCACAAAACAGAAAACTCCACAAAGCATTTCCATTACCACTCTCTCTTTTGATTCCTAATACAACAATGGCATTATTCTCACAGTAAGGAAGCAGAGGCTCAGAGAGGTGAAATGACTTGCCCAAGGTAATGACTGGTAAAACGTGGACTTGAACCCAGGTCCATTGGGCTTGAACTCCAAGCCCAATGCTTTTCATTGGAGAAAGAGGCACTAATGTCATATGTGATTGAGGCAAGTTCCTTCCCCTCCCAGAGCTGCAGATTCTCTACCTGTGAAATAAGGGGGTTGGGGTAGACCAGTAGTTTCCAAACCTGGCTGAATATTCTGGGAAGCTTGGGAAAAAATATAGATTCCTGGGCCTTACTCAGAGATTCTGATTCAAGAGATCTGAAGGAAAGGAGGAGCTGAAGTCCTGTATTTTTAACAAGTTTTCCTGAGATGGGAACCACTGCACTAGATTATTAATTTCCCTTCTGGTTCCAACAACCCATGTTGGCAGATCTCAAATAAATTACATGTACAGCGGGAGGAGCAGGGAGTGCAGGGGGTGGAGTAGTGTTAAGGAGCCCTTTGTGAAGTACTATGAAATGCAGATAAGGTGAACTCCTCCCTCATACTAACTGAAGCAAACTTACTAGCAGGAAATGATTACACTCCCTGTATGGACATCTACCATCACAGCACCAAAAGACAGAAAATATTTTTGAGAAATCACATTAACCGAATAGAAATAACTGAGACCCAAATGCCCAATGTAATAGGAGTCATCCAAATGGCTGCCCAGAGACACACAGAGGTGAACCAACTTATATCTTGATACTCATTCATTTTGCAGCAGGCCCCAGGTGTTTAAGAACATCTGGATAAAAATCTGGAAACACCAGTCATGAATTTTGTTCTGCTTATTGTCATTTGATTTTAGGAACAGAACATGGTTGCCCAGCTCAGTGGCCCCCAGGAAGAGAGCTAGAGAATGACAAGTAACCTCCATCACATTCAGCCCCATGTCCCTCTCCCCAGGACAGAACTGGTGCTAGACCAATTATGCAAGTCTGCTGGCCTCAGCACAATGTTTTGAAAGAATGAGCATGTGATTTCAAGAGGGTCCTGACAACATCCCTGTCGAGTGAGATAGATAAGGGCAGCTATAGTAGAGAACAAAGCTCTGCGGTTAGTCAGACCCGGGTTTGAGTCCATACTAACATTAACTTCCTTTAAAAATAAGGTTGCCGAGTGGATTAAATAAGAAAAATCTGTGTGCAGTTCCTTAGCAGTGTTTGGAGCTCTATACATGGGAGCTTTTTCGGCTGTACCCACTTTACAGGTGGAAAACTTGTCAGAGGTCACACAGCAGCCTGGTTGCAAAGCCAGGACTAGAACCTCTGACTCTGACATTAGAGCAATGGAACTCTCCATTAGCCCCCATCTCTTCACAACTCTGGGATTCCAACATCTCTGCCTGCTGTTGGGCTTTTGTTTAGTTGGTAAACACTGATTGGCTTCTAATGCCAGTCCCTTGACCAGGTAATGAGGACACAGAGAAAGATAAGGCTTCTAATGCCAGTCCCTTGACTAGGTAATGAGGACACAGAGAAAGTTAAGACATAAAAATAATCACTATGAAAAGTGCTAATTTGGCCCTTTGTTTTTCTCGTTCTATAGTCTCAACCCTTCTTGCAGCTTTATTTATTTTGCTGATGACACTCAAATCTATACCTTTACAGAAGTGCTTTCCTGACCTTCAAACTAGAATATCCAACTCTACCAGGAATCTCCAAACCACCACTATAGAATTTGCTGTTGTCTCCCTACAAATCTGCTCCTCCTCTGATGAACACAACCTAGGCACCAAAGCTTTGAATGTACTTGTCTCCTACACCCCATTCTCCTCTAATCCTGTGGATTCTTTCTAAATATATGGTATTTTGAATTCCTTGATTTCTCTCCATCCCCACTCTTAGGAGCCTAGCTCCAGCTACCATCATCTCTTCCCTGGGCACTAAACAGATTCAGAGTGAGGTATCTTCAGCGACCAGGATACACCAGCCTCTCTCCGGCTTCCAGACCTTAGCGCGTACTGCTGTCTCTCTTTGGAACACTCTCCACCACCCCCGACCAGCGTTCATGACTTAAGTTTCAGAAGCCGTCCCTGTTCTCTGCCCAGGGCTTCTACAGCCCGTTCCCTTCTCCCGTACCGTAGGAATAGTATCTGTCTTGATCACTTCTCTTCCTCCAGCGCCTACTACTGTATTCAATATATGTTAAATGAATGAACGATGAATGAATGACAGACTGGGGCCGGATCACCAAAAGCCTTAAAACGCCCACAAGGAAACCGGTCGGACTTTATCCCAAGGGCGAAGCCAGTACCCGCGTGGGGCCCGGGGCAACAACACGGTCTCCTGCCCAGGCATGCCTCACTCAACGGGCCTGCTCGCTCCCACTCTGGGCAAAGTTTGGTCCTAATCGCTCCCAGTTTTGTTTTTTTTTTTTAACTCTGGCTCTAGTTTCACCTGCACCGCGTCCCCGACAGAGCCCGATCTGAAGTTCGGAGATCTGGGAAATCTGGGATCAACACGCACTAGCCCAACCTCCTCAGTGGACACCAGTTTCCCCGTCCCTGTCACGGGTTTGAGCCGCAAGATCTCCCAGCCTCCGGGTTCCAATCACTGGCCAGACCCCTCCCTCACAGCTTTCCTCCCGAGGAAACATGACCCTTGCCGGCCGCCGTTGCCGCGCCCCAACCTACTCTTTCGTTCGTCCGCCCGCCGGCGCACGGTACTCAGGCCCCTCGCGCCGTTACCCGAGGTTCAGAGGGCGGGGCCTTGGTGCGACCCAATGCGCTTGCGCGGACCGCCCCCGCGGGGCCAAAAGAGCAGGGCAGGGGCGGAGACGGCGGCCGGGAAGGGCCAGGGTGTATGAGGGTAACCTTGGCGTTAGGGGTGCGTGGGCTAGACTCCGGGCGACAGGACTTTGGGAAGGAGGGGAGGAGCAGTCTGGGTCCGTGGGGAGCTGTGGGTTTGCATACCTCGAGGGTGTCAGAGCTGGTGACGTCCAGTGTAAGATGGGGAAACTGATACTCAGAATGGGATAGTCACTACTTCGGAGACACACAGTTGGTGGGGGTAGGTGTGGTAATAGAGGCCCAGAGACCGGCGCAGGGTCCCATAGCACGTTCAGGGCTGAGCCCGTGTTGGATCCCAGTCTTCTGTTTTCCACCCTGTGAGGGCCTCTTGATTGGGAGATCTCTGTGGTCCCAGGGTCTGGATCGCACATGGTCTGCATCTGTTTTTAGCAACGACGTAATGACATAACCCTGCCTGGTATTGTTATTTATGAGGCTGTCTCCACATGGGTGGGGGCTACTGCTTGGCCACTCAGAGTGGAATTCCTCTGTCTTCCAGCTCCTAGCACAGGACTGGCCCAGCAGTGCTGCTCAGGAAATGCCTGTGGAATCAAAGTGAGAACTACCCCGTGTGTTGAGGATTTACTGTGTACCAGGCCTGTCCCGGACACTTTATATGTGTTATCTCATTTACACCCCCGCGGTAATCCTGGGAGGGAGAAGTTACTGTCCCTATTTCACTGAGAAGAAGCAGAGTCTCATTGGTGCTTTGCGTTAGGACCACTTGCAATGATTGATGGCACTGACTCCAGGGCCTGTGGTCTCCTGCTTGGTGAACTTTTGAAGCTGTGGGCTGATAAAGGGGAGACACGCTCCTCAGCCTCCAGGAACCTCAGAGACTTTCTACTAACAAGCTTCTAGTCCAGCTCTTGTTTCATCCATGAGGAAACAGAAGCCCAGAAAGGAGAGATGACTGACTGACTTAGATCCCGTCTTTCCCCTTAGTACTTATCCACATACTTTTGGGCACAATGGGATCTGATTTTACTCAACATTACGCCACCCAGGTAGCCCAGTGCCTGATACAGGTCAACACGAAGTAAATACTTTTAAATTTTATTTATTATGAAAACATTGAGAAAGGCATAAAGATTAGTATAACGAACATCCATCTAGCCATCACCCAGCTTGCAAAATGAAACATTGCTAAGGCTCCTGTGTGCCCCTCCACAACTGCACCACTTCCCTCAGGTAAAGACTATTAAATTTGGTGTTTATTATTCCTATGCAATTTTTTATTGAGATATAATTCATACACCATAAAATTCAACCTTTTTAAGTATACAATTCGGTAATTTTTAGTGTATTCACAAGATTATGCGACCATCACCACTAATACCAGAACATTTTCATCAACCAAAAAGAAACTCTGTGCCTATTAGCGGTCACTCCCCAATTCTTCCCTCTCTCCAGCCCCTAGCAACCACTAATCTGCTTTCTGTCTCTGTGGATTTGCCTATTCTGGATATCTCATATAAATGGAATCATAGAATATGTGGCCTTTGTTTCTGGCTTCTTTCACTTAGCATAATACTTTCAAGGTTCATCCGTGTTGTACTATGTATCAGCATTTCATTCCTTTTTATGGCTGAACGTTATTCCATTGTATGGGTACATCACATTTTGTTCATCCATCAGTTGATGGACATTTGGGTTGTTTCTGCTTTGTGCTAATATAAATAATGCTGCTATGAACATTCATGTCCAAGTTTTTGTGTGGATGTATGTTTTCAATTCTCTTGGGTATATACCTAGGAGTGGACTTGCTGGGTCATATGGAACTCTATGCTTAAGTTTTTGAGGAACTGTCAGACTGTTTTCCAAAGTGGCTGCACTATTTTACATTCCCAATGTATGAGAGTTCCAATTTTTACATTCTCACCAACACTTGATATTGTCTGTCTGTTTTCTTATGGCCATCCTAATGAGTGTGAAGTGGTATCTCATTGTGGCTTCAACTTGGATTTCCCTAATGACTAATGATGGTGAGCATGGGTTCATGTGCTTATTGGCCATTTGTATATCTTCTTTGGAAAAATGTCTATTCAGATCTTTTACCCTTTTTTTCTTTCTTGAGGAAAATTAGCCCTGAGCTAGCACCTGTTGCCAATCCTCCTCTTTTTTGCTGAGGAAGATTGGCCCTGGGCTAATATCCGTGCCCATCTTCCTCCACTTTATGTGGGAGGCCTGCCACAGCGTGGCTTGACAAGTGATGCGTAGGTCCGCAGCCTGGGATCCGAACATGTAAACCCCGGGCCGCCAGAAGTGGAGCGTGTGAACCTAACCCCTATGCCAGCAGGCCGGCCCCTTTTACTCATTTTTAAATTGGGTTGTCTTTTTATTGTTGAGTTATAAAAGTTCTTTATATATTCTGGGTACCAGACCCTTATCAGATATATGATTTGTGAATAGTTTCTCCCATCCTGTGAGCTGTCTTTTTGGTTTCTTGAGAGTGTATTTTGGAGTGCAAATATTTTTAATTTTGATGACGTCCAATTCATCTTTTTTTCTTTAGTTGCCTGTGCCTTGAGTGTCATGTCTAAGAAACTGTTGCCCAATCCAAAATTATGAAGATTGACTCCTGTGCTGTCTTCTAAGAGTTTTATAGCTTTTGCTCTTACATTTAGGTCTTGGATTCATTTTGAGTTAATTTTTGTATATGCTGTGAGGTAGGTCCTATGCATTTTTTTATCCTTTTACTGGGTGTGTGTTCCTAAACAATATATGATAGTATTTTTTCTGTTTTTTTGACTTTAAATGATAACATATTGTATGTTTTCTTGTGCACCTTGCTTTTTTCATTCAGCCTTATGTCGGGAGAGTCATCCATGTTGATAAGGGTAACTCTGGTTCATTCGCTGTCACTGCTCTATAGGTTTCATTGCATAAAAATACCACATTGGCAGGAGTGCAAATTTGTAAAACCACTTAGGAGAGAAATTTTGTATGATCTAGTAAATCTGTATATGCTCATGACCTTCAACAAACTGCACAAGGAGGCACAATCAGACTGTTTACCATTTGTAATAGCAAAATACTAGAGACAACCCAAAGGACCATTCACAAGAGAAATGGTAAATGAAATGTGGTATGCTATGAGGAACTCGACAGAGTAACGGTGTGGAGGGTAATGGGGCTGTACTCTATTCAGGTTGGTCACTAGGGCCTCTCTGAAGAGGTGACATTTAAGGTGAGACCTGAAGGATGAGAAGGAGCCAGTCAGGCAAAGAGCCAGGGAAAGAATATCCCAAGCAGAAGGAACAGTAAACACAAAAGCCACGAGGCAGAAAATAGCTTTGTGTGTTTGAGGCCCTGTCAATGCTAGTGCAGCTGAGGTGGGAACACGGGGAGAGTTTTACAAGATGAGGTTAGACAGGTAGGCAGGGGCCGATCACTGAGAGTCTGGTACGGCTTGGAAGGACTGGACTTTATTATAAGTGTGATGGGAAGCTGTTAGGGCAGGAGAGTAAGTTGTCTGAAGTTTAATAATGATCACTGTGGCTGGCACATAGAAAATGGAAGGGGCAGGAGATACCGCAGGCAGAGCAGTGAGGAGGCTGCGGCCATCCAGGTGAGAGAGGAGGGGCCTGCACCGGGAGAGGCATGAAGGTAGAGGAGAGGGGATGGAGAGCATGAACCTGCACTCTGAGGCCGGAGCAGCCACACAGGCTGAGGTTGGGCCACAGGGGGCATAAAGAGGGTTGAGGCTGGACAGAGCAGTTGGGACTGGACTGTAAAGGGCTTCAAAAGTCAGATGTTTACATAGTGCTTATATATGTCAGGCACAGGCTAAGCTCTTTATATACATTATTTCATTGACTCTGTATAACCACTTAATGGAATACAGTTATACCCATTTTATGATGGAAATTGAAGCTCCAAGAAGAATAGAGACTTCCTCAAGTTCACATAGCAATTAAGGGACAGAGCTGGACAGTCTGACTCTAGAGCCAGTGCTATCAGACCCTCTTTTGTCATCTCTTCCCCAGACCTCCTATTTTGGCTTCCTCCCTCCTCCATACACTGGCCCTCCCAGGCCCCCTCCTTGCTACTGTTTCTGCCTTCCCCTCACCCTAGCTTCCCTGGCTAGCCCATGTCCATAGCCCTCACCCCTTTCATTCATATTCTGAGCATAGTTTGGAGCCTGGGATTAGGCCAGGCTATTTGGATGGTGACCCCTGGGGGGATACCCCACACCCTAGGGTGTCCTTCAGCCCTTTCTATTCCACCAAGCTGCCTGGCAAGGGGAGTCTTGGAGCGGCCCACCACCCAGTCCTTTTACCTACTTGTGGCCAGAACATATGCGGCCCGTGCAGTGCAGAGGACAGAGCCACAGGACACCCATACCTGGTAGAGAGGCCAGCGCGACAGGGGATAGGGGCAGCACTGGGCCTCTCAAGGCTTGGTGGTTCTGGAAACTGATATGAGCAGCAGCAACTGCTGGCATTATCTGGACTCTAAGAATAGCTTGGGCTGAAGAGTTGGGGGCTGGAGCCAGGGGAGAGGGCAGGAGCCTGTTTCCACAACCCCTGCTGCTTGACCCAGAAGCTGGGAAGCCTCCCTTCTGGCTTACCATTTGCTCTGGGATGGTTTCGCATGGACACATTTTGTCCGCTCTTGAGCTGGAAGAAAGAGGTTGTCCCGGGAACTCAGACCCAGGGCTGAGGGCAGTGAGCCCACACCCTGAGGACCAGCCCTCACCCAGGCCCTCCCCACTGACACAGAGTAGGGGCTTGCTTTTTCAAGGATCATATTGGAAGTGACCCTTATTCATTTA